TGCATTATGGTACGGTAGTTGCATGCAATTTGGTGCAGTGTGCGTGCTGAACAAGTAGCTCTTGCAGTACTTTTTCCACATTCCAGTGCATTTGCAGCCCATTCAAATGAATGGGCTGCAAAACTGGACCACATGGGAACATGAAGGAAACACACGGGAAGGAGCATGTTCCGGTATGAATCGGCCCTGAAAGTTGCTGTCTGAAGCCTCGGAGAGGTCCCATTACTGGACCTGATGGGCATCATAAAATGGATAAAAGCCATCACCCTCCCATCTATATACATGCATGCCTCCTGCCTGGTTTGGTACTGATTGGATGTCGGTGGTAGCGATACGTCAATAGTGGTTCCCAATCTGTGGAGTGCAGTTCATATGTGCAATTATTCTATTTATTTTACCCCCATAATGGTGCAAACATCGGCCGCACAAGGTAAGGCCTGTTAGGGTTGGACGCCTTGACAAGACTGTCTAGCGTGTTAAAGAATTAGTGAGCAGTTCACAGGAGGGTCCTTCTCCAAATGTTGGCCCTGCAACTTCCCTCACATCAAGTCACTGATTAATGTAAAACGGAGGAAAAAGAGAAATATTTCCACAGCCCAAACCAACCAATCACATGTCATCTTCTGCTCTCTAAGAAGAACTCTAAGATAAAAATGGAATTTGATTTGTTGTTATGGAGTTGTTCATAAATCGTTGTCTTTGTTGGGTGTCTGACCTATATCACATGTGAAGGTGATGACGGCAGATTGGACCTCGGAATCCTCTCTATGTAGAAGTCCGTGTCCATGGATCTGTCACTGTTATTCTCCACCAGAAGGTTTAACATCTGAGGACTGTGGCTGTCCTGGATATTCTCAATCAGAACCAGAGAGGACGAGTGGCTGGGTGACACCTCTTCTTTCTCTGGAGTTGGTTTCCCTGTAAAAATTGGAAGGAATGATAAAACTGCATTAAACATGGACATATTACTGCTCTGTCCCAACTATCTCCAACCATCCATAGTTATCCTTCCCATTATGTACATATAAAGCTCAGCCATGGGTCGTGGTAACGTCCTCCTTCCTCCTCCAGAACATTCTCAGCTTTGTCTGTGTTTCCCATGACAACAGTTGGCAGTTTATTTTATTTTTCTGGAATTACATTTTCTACCTGTCATTTGTGGAACCCATTGAAATGTTATTACTTGCAATACATTAAAATGGACATTAGATGATGGTGGCCTGCCATTCAGGGTCACTCACATGGACAGAACATCTCTGTGACCGAGGGTAAGCGGGACAGAACACCCAAAGCAGATGGCAAACACACAAAGCTTTATTGAAACAAATAACAGTCACTCAATGGGGACATTGCAGGGTGGGTGACCGCATCAATGGGGGAGTAGCACAGAGAGAGAGCCCAAAATACTTGTAATCCAGCCCCGGTGGGCAAAGTTTAAGTCTCTACAGCAGTTTGTAATCCAACAGTGAGGTAGAGGGGCAGTTCACAGACATTTCAGGTAAAACAGGGGGGAGCATGCACTCACGCAGTGCTGGCATGCGGTCTCAGGCAGGCAGGCATGCGGTCTCAGGCAGAGCTGATGTGTGGCCTCAGGCAGAGCTGATGTGTGGTCTCAGGCAGGCTGGCATGCGATCTCAGGCAGAGCTGATATGTGGTCTCAGGCAGGCTGATGTGTGGTCTCAGGCAGGCTGGTATGCGGTCTCAGGCAGAGTGACATGTGGCCTCAGGCAGCTTCTGGGGTCCCCCCTGTATCCAATGGGGTCTTAGGCAGAGTCTGGCCACGAAGTTCCCGCCGCGGATGGGATCCCTCAGTGGCTGCACAGCAGAATGGATGGCCAGGAGAGCCTAGCATCGGTCTCTTAAACCGGTGATAGACGTTTCCCGTTCATCCTGGTAACTGGGGCGGGCCGTCGGCAGCATGCCTCGTTGCTCAGCAATGAGGCACGCCCCCCTGGACACGGGTCGCGCTCACATGACCGCGGCCTTTGTCCGGACTGTGTTCGTAAGCACACAAACTTTCGTTCACGCGATACGAATGTCTGGATCGTATGGCGTCACCCTGACGCCGTGACCCAGATCCTCCCCGCAGGAGGTTCGCACCTCTCCTCGGACGGTGCTGAACTAGGCCGCGGAGCCAGGGTTGGAGAGAGGGGAAGAGCGAAAAGAGCCTACTGACCACCCGGTCCGGCACGCTGCCTAGCAGGCCAACCTGACACGCCGCTACAATCTGCCCGACTACTCTGACCGGGTGAGAGACCCATACACCCACTAACCGAGTGAATACTGACAGTTTGCCACCTCAGCTATCTACCTACACATAGTTGTGAACATTACATATATCACTTCAGGTTGTGGCCTAGTTCTCCCAGCCGCCATTGTTGGGACACATCTGCATTACAGTTTATTTCTACAAGCTGACCGCAGGACATACAGTTGCAGGCCAGGATACAGCAATGCCAACAAAGCAGGATTCCTTCTACTGATCATTTTGCCTTTGATATTCAGAGGGAGTTGTCTTTTGTCCATTTACACTTATGCCAATTGTTGCTATTCATTACTTCAAGCCTGCTCCCTGTTTAGTGTTTTAAAGGGGACCCCACCCTAATTTGCTACCATCAAGAGGAAAAGTGTTAAATCTCCTTTGTTCCTTCACTATCTTTGTGTTGCCATCCGAAGGAACTATATTCCACACCTTAACTCAACTTAATACCAACTGGGCTCCAATGAGCGCACAGAAAACACTTTAGTGTTCTTATCCACTTTCCAACCGCGCTATAGCTGAAAGACAGCTACAGCGCAGTTGTCTAGCTCTGGGAGGGCGTCCATGGATGTCCTCCCAGAACATGCCCCCTGCGCGCACCCGGCACCGCCGCCGATTGCTGTGTTTCTACGGACACAGCTGATCACGTGATACGGTAAAAGGCCAATCACAGCAGCCTTTTACCACGTGATCAGCTGTGTCCAATGGCACAGCAGATCACCAGATAAATACAGTTGTCGGTTATCGACATCACTTTCCTCACCCTGTCACAGCGTGAAGAAAGTACTGCCGAGAAGGGAAGGGATCAGCACTGATCATCAGGGCACTGATGATCAGTGCTCAACAGTGCCACCCATCTGTACCCATCAGTGCATCCCACCTGTGCCCATTAGTACCTCCTACCTGTGCCCAGAAGTGACTAGCAGTGCCACCCGCCTGTGCCACCCACCTGTGCCCATCAGCAATGCCCACGTGTACCCATCAATGCTGCCAACCTGTAGCTATCAGTGCCACCTGCCTGTGCCCATCAGTTCCACCCACCTGTGCCCAGCAGTGCCACCCATCAGTGCCCAGCAGTGGCACCAGTCAGTGCCCAGAAGTGCCGTCAGTCAGTGCCACCAATCAGTACTGCCATCAGTGTTGCCTATCAGTGCCAACTATCAGTTGAGCATTATCAGTGCCAGCTCATCAGTGCCACCTATCTATCATGCCCTATCAGTGCTTCCTATCAGTGCCCATCAGTGCTGCCTCATCAGTGCCCATCAGTGCTGACTATCCGTGCCACCTCATCAGTGCCCATCAGTACATCTATCCATGCCACCTCATCAGTGCCCATCAGTACTGCCTATCCGTGCCACCTCATCAGTGCCCATCAGTGCTGACTATCCGTGCCACCTCATCAGTGCCCATCAGTGCTGACTATCCGTGCCCCTCATCAGTGCCCATCAGTGCTGACTATCCGTGCCACCTCATCAGTGACCATCAGTACTGCCTATCCATGCCACCTCATCAGTGCCCATCAGTACTGCCTATCCGTGCCCTCATCAGTGCCCATCAGTGCTGACTATCCGTGCCACCTCATCAGTGCCCATCAGTGCTGACTATCCGTGCCACCTCATCAGTGCCCATCAGTGCTGACTATCTGTGCCACTCATCATCAGTGCTGACTATCCATGCCGCCTCATCAGTGCCCATCAGTGAAGGAGAAAAATTACCTGTTTGCTAAATTTTATAATAGAAACAAAGAAAAACTTTTTTATACAAATTTTTTGCTCTTTTTTTGTTTATACAGCAAAAAAAAAAAACACCCAACGGGGAGTGCATACCACCAAAAGAAAGTGCTATTTGTGTGATAAACTGATACAAATGTCATATGGGTACAGTGTAAAGGGGGACAGCGCTGAAAGCTGAAAATTGTCCTGGGCAGGAAGGGGGGGGGAAGGGCCCGGTAGGCGAGGGGTTAAAGGGACAGTGCTCAATTTCAAATGAGAATTCTCTTTCCTTCACATCTAATCCTTGCCATCTAGTTCTGAGGGCCCTCAGTGAGCTTACCTGTTTCTTGTTGGTTGTTTTTCTGCTCACTGGGGGATCCAGCACTCCCCTCAGATTGGAAGTAGCGGATTATTTCTGAAAGCCGGCCTGCTAATTATAAATAGTTATATTTTATTATTATACAGGATATATGTCACCAACAGTTTGCTCAGCACTTTACAATATAACGGGAGACAATACAGCAACAATACAGTTCAATACAAGAGTGATAGGAGGGCCCTGATCCTGGGAGCTTACAATCTAAGAGGGAGGGGCTGGTGTTACAAAAGGTAGTAACTGTGGGGGATGGACTGGTAGGAGGAATAAAAGATTCCATTATTAGCTGAAGGCAGGACAGGCTTCCCTGAAGAGATCGGTTTTCAGAGATCGCCTAAAAGTGTGCAGAGTAGGCGATAGTCTGATAAAATGGGGTAGAGAGTTCCAGAGGATGGGAGAAGCTCTGGAGAAGTCCTGGAGATGAGAATGGGAAGAGGAGACAAGGGTGCTATAGAGTAGGAGGTAATGGGAGGATCGGAGAGGACAGTTTGGGTGATATTTGGAGACAAGATTGGTGATGTAATTTGGGGCGGAGTTATAAATGGCTTTATATGTTATTGTTAATGTTTTGAATTTTATCCGTTGAGCAATGGGAAGCCAGTGGAGGGATTGGCAGAGAGGGGTGGAGGACACTGAGTGGGGGCCAGTGGAGGGATTGGCAGAGAGGGTGGAGGACACTGAATGGAGGTCAGTGAAGGGAATGGCAGAGAGGGGTGGAGGACACTGAATGGAGGTCAGTGGAGGGATTGGCAGAGAGGGGTGGAGGACACTGAGTGGAGGCCAGTGGAGGGATTGGCAGAGAGGGGTGGAGGACACTGAATGGAAGCCAGTGGAGGGATTGGCAGAGAGGGGTGGAGGACACTGAGTGGAGGTCAGTGAAGGGATTGGCAGAGAGGGGTGGAGGACACTGAGTGGAAGCCAGTGGAGGGATTGGCAGAGAGGGGTGGAGGACACTGAATGGAAGCCAGTGGAGGGATTGGCAGAGAAGGGTGGAGGACACTGAATGGAGGCCAGTGGAGGGATTGGCAGAGAGGGGTGGAGGACACTGAGTGGAGGTCAGTGGAGAGATTGGCAGAGAGGGTGGAGGACACTGAATAGAGGTCAGTGAAGGGAATGGCAGAGAGGGGAGGCAGATAAGGAACAGTTAGTAAGGTGGATGAGTCTGGCAGCAACATTCATGATAGACTGAAGAGGGGATAGCCTGCGATGAGGTCGGCCAGTGAGGAGGGAGTTACAATAGTCAAGGCGAGAGATAACAAGGGAGTGAATAAGTTGCTTAGTAGTTTCAGAGGTTAAGAACGGACGTATCTTGGAGATGTTCCGGAGGTGAAGTCTACAAGAATTGGACAGAGATTGGATTTGGGGCTGAAAGGACAGATGGGAGTCTAGGATTACACCGAGTACCTTGGATGAGGGGAGGGACTGATGGTTGTATTGTTGTTCTTGATGGAGAAGTCGGGGGGGGGGGGGGGGGAATAGTATGAGCTCCTTTTTGAAAAGTTTGATTTTGAAGAAGTTGAGTGACATCCATGCCGGTATGTCACTTAGTAGGTTAGTAATGCGAGAGTTGCTTTATGATGAACGTTGTTACTTTTGCTCACAATTACTAAGAGTGATTATATTTGCTGCATATATCAGTGTCATTTTTGTTCTTTTTGACCAAATTACCTTTAATTCCAATATAAAGTTCATATTGGTCTATACTGACTTGTGTGTGAGTCCATCTTACAGGTGCCATTTACTTTGGTCACAAGAGCACGGTGGTGTCAGCAGAGGTTGGGCTTTCAACAAGAGGTCCAGATTGACAAGGAACCCAAAAATGACTAAGCAACCCTTGAGGAGGTCGTTCTACATTTGTTACCCCAACCCGCTTCCCACCACCCTGGCCATATGTGGACAGCTCAGAAATATTGCCCATTTGCTTGAAATTTGCAGATATTGAAGGTCACCATGACCACTGCTGATAATTATGGACGAGTGATAACATTCTATGGTGTATGAAACGTGATAACAATGTGTGGATTCCAATACCATCTCTATGCTGATGACACGCAAATCTGA